TTACTATGTCTTATAGAATCTTTTTTTTAATCATTTTATTAGGGGCTCATACAACTCCTATCACAATCCATACATACATCAGTTGTGTAAAGCACATTTGTACATTCATTGCCCTCATCATTCTCAAAACATTTCCTCTCCACTTAAGCCCCCGGCATTAGGTCCTCAGACCAATGTTACTTTGAGGACTGAAGTACACTTGACAAGCCATAGTATATTCTCCATTGCCATCATATGCATGTGAAAACTGGGCACTGAATAAAGATTAAAAAAATCAATGCATTTGAATTATGGTGCTGGTGAAGAACATCAAAGTTCATGGACTACTAAAAGAACAAATTTTTCATGGAAGTGTGACCAGAATTGCTCCACAGTGAAAAAGATGGTCCTTTTATTTTTTCTAGTTTTATTGGCACAAAATCCACATCATACAATTCAATTATGCAATTATGTCAAGAAGAACTGTACAATTGTTACCACAATCAATTTCAGAAGATCCCCCTCCAGGATTAAATCACTTTTAAAATGAGTTGTGTAATCACATTCAGTTCTAGTGCTCCCTCCCCCTCCCGCCTTCATTGTTTACTCCACAAAACCCCTCACCGTCCCCATCTCCCCTCTACCTGCCCCCTACATTTCTTTTCTACAAGTCCTTCCATCAGTAATTATCTCTATGCATCCACTCCTTCTGTGCATCACAAACTGGTTAACCCAACAGAAACAGTAAAGAACAGAAACAAAATGAGGTGGTAAAGATAAAAACAATAGTAATATAAAGATAAAAATACCAAAAATGAGTAATAAAAAGACCTCCAGGAATATTTTAAAAACCAGGGAAAGAATTTTTGTCATGGAACAAGCAAGACAACCTTGCACCAATTAGGATGGGTCTAGAGGGAGGTCAACTGGCCAAATATCAAGTTTGATCCAGCGTAATCAGGATTACAGTGATCTAGACCCAATCTTCTATACTTTGGACATACTGTCATGAGAAAGCAGTCCTTGGAGAAGGTCTGTAAGGTAGAGGGATGGTGGGGGCGGGAGGTAAGAAGGCCCTCCCTCAACAAGATGGGCTGACACAGTGGACTCAAACTTAAGAACAATTGGGAGGACGGTGTAGGACCAGGCTGTGTTTTGTTTTGTCGTGCATAAGGTTTTTATGGGTCAGATCCGGCTCAGTGGCATATGTATGTGTGTGTATACACACACACACACACACACACACACACATAAAAATCCTTGGTCCATTTTATAAGCAGCACTGTCAGTTTCTTGAGAAATAACCTCCATGAGGCATTTGGTAATTCTAATAATAAGCATCATTAATCTAGCCAATGGTATAGAATTTAAAATACTATTGAGACAAGGAAAATATACATATATAGGAAACTTTAAGTAAATGGACACTAAGAAAACAATGAGGATCAGACACAAGGCAAAAATTACAATAACACTCTTTCACTAAGGTCAAAGAATGTCTGCAGAACTAAGTAAGGCATGTCATAAAAAACAAAGACAAGTACTCATGAAATGTTTGGAACCCTCTGATATATGACAGAGCATATAGAGGGCACAGCTAAGGAAACTTCTTAACCAATCACCTCCAAGGGCTGAGCTATTGGCCTTGAAAGCTAAGGACCATAATCTTGGGGACTGCTGAGATTAAGTGCATAACAGAGTACATAAAGACAAGGTTCTAGCTCCTACTTCAGTGAGTACCTATTGTCTAGGATCCTAAAAGTTTATTACTGATATGACATCCGCACTGGTTTGTTTTTCTGTTATTTATTGAAGGTTTGTTATTTATTGAAGAGAGTAATATTTAAGACCACACAAATATTTAAGTAGAAATATGCACACCATTATCCATAATAGGCAAAATTGGAAACTAAACATCCATGAACTCATAAATGGATAAATTTGCTACATTGACAAAACACTACTCAGAAATAAAAAGAAACCATTGAATCGCAAACCATTATGTGAATCATCAAAAGGGCAGCGTTTAACTGAGGACAAAGTTAGGGACATAGGTAGAATGAAAACAAGAAAAGGAGGAAGTGATGGCATGTTGAGGGTATTACAATGAATGAAATGAGTATAATAAATTGTTGAATGTAAACATGATCAGCTCTATAAACCTGCACTCAATTTACAATAAAAAGTTGGGTTTTTTTAATTGTGTGAAAAAGCACAAAAGACTACATGTTATATAACCTCATTTATATGGAGTTCTAGAAAAGGTGAAACCATGATGACAGAAAGCAAACCTGTAGCCATGAAGCCAGGGGTCAAGAGAGGGAAGTGACTGCAAAGGGGCACAAGGAAGGTGAGGTGATAAAGCTAAAAATATAAAGTGTTGATGCAAAAAATGTGACGGCCTACATAAAAATAAGCTTGGAAATTTAGAAATAAAACGTAAAGCCCCAGGTGGCCATAAATTGTCATTCCTCAGCAAAAAAGATTTCTTCCAGGGGCACACACATAACACAAAAATTCTTCACTTATCATGGGATTATGGGTCATTATTTTCTCTATATCCTAAGTTTCTCTAATATAACATTACCCTTATAACATTTAATGCCACAGAACTATGAAACAATTAGAAATGCATCTGCATTTCATTAATTAAAAATGCACGACAATGCACCTGCTCACACAGTCATCCTCAGTGTGACCTCACCTGACCTCGCTCTGTGCCACTTTTTCGTTTTCAAGAATGAAGAGGGCCATGAAAGGACAGTGATTAGATGAAATAGAAGAGAAGAAAAAAAACAAGGGAAGTGTTGTCAGCCTTAAGTTTGAAAATGTTTCCAAGAATGGAATCACAGATTTGACGAATGTATTAAGTGTAATGGAAAGTACTTTGAAGGTTGCTAAGGTTGTTTGGTAAAAATATTTAAATGCATGCTTTGAAAAAAAATTGTTTGGGGAGGGTTGAAGGGGGTACCCCCATCATACTCCATAAAAAGGAGTATATCATCTGACAGCGAGTGACAAGGCAACACACAAAAGCAGAAATTTTACAATTCCTACGTATTAAAATAGTATCTTTCTGAAATTTTTCTCTGGCTAACTGAGCTGATAAGGAAAAAAAACACTACAGAGAAAGATGACAGATACTGAAATCCAAAGCCACTGCTAAAATACAAAGGAAATAACTGAGGAAATTAAGCACCTTTGAGGAAAAAAATGTGTTCTTGTAATTTAGAAAGTAAGCTCTACATGTAGTACATACATTATACAGAACATACACTAGATACATCTTTAAATTTCAGAGAGTAATGACAATAGATACTACATATAGTTTTATGTGCTTACAATTTTGGGTAGATTAAGGTAATCTCAAAAACTGCAGAGGGGACAGTGAAAAGATAATCAAGAGATGTTTTCTAAAGATGATGTTGATCTCTCACAATCTCCAACTCTCTTGCAAGGTACACACATGAGCTTTTATGTCATTTAGTTCACTGAACTTTGCACTTACCCTTACCTTCTTCCACACCTAGGATACTTGAAATATCAATTGGCTGTCGTCCAATTATGAGAATTATGAATTGGCAGATACCCAGCTCGGATTTGGGACTGATCCTTAGTCAAGCATCAACTGCCATGGCATTTAATTCAACTAACTACTAAAAACAAGTGACTTGCTAGTATGGTAGTGGTTCCAAAACATCCCCCAAAAGGCGGACAACTGTTATAACCCAAAACATTATTATAAAACATTTTAAATTTTCACCTGCAGTATCAAAAAGTCCGAGAGTATATGGCTCTCCACCAATCATAACTGTGACTGCATAGTTGTCGAAAACCTAAAAACACAAATACAATACTGTTAGTGTGCAGAGAGGGGCATGGTAAAATAGGACAGGGAAGTTCCCAAACTAAGGCACTGTTTCCTTCCCAATCCTTAACCCTCCTTCTCTCTTAGCCTAGCTCCCTTAAACAGGCATACCTCATTTTCTTATTCTTCTCTTGACTGTGCTTCGTAGATGCTGCATTTCTTACCAAGTGAAGGTTTGTGGCAACTCTGCATTGAGCAAGGCTATCAATGCCATTTTTCTTACATCCTGGGCTTCCTTTATGTCTGTGTAACATGCTGGTAATTCTCACAATTATTTCCAACTTTTTCATAATGCTCTTGCATACTTGGCTAGATTATAGTATAGTATAACTCTTATTCACCCTGGGTAACCAAAAACTTGACATAACTCACTTTATTGTGATACTCATTTTATTGTAGTGGACTGGAACTGAACTTACAGTATCTCCGAGGTATGCCTGTATAATCAAACTTGCCAATTAAGACCTCGAAAGAGCTAAGCAGTTCTGAAAAAAGCGGCAGGGAATGGTCCTTGGATGTCTGCCCTACACCAGCAGTCTGAATAAAGATACAGAGTAGGATCTGACTATCACAGCATAGGCCTCTAGCTATATAAATTGATACTGCTCAAATTGAAAACTTTTGAAACAATATACCTCAATGTTCAATTTGAATTCTAAGAATTTAATTCAA